TGCCATTTCCGAGCATGAGCCTCAGATTCCCTAGCGCAAACGCCAATATTAACGAGCCCCATCTCAGATTAACAAGCACAACGTAAAGTTTCCAAGCACTAGCCGTTGTTCTGCTTATCTACCCGTTGGGTAGTTTTGAAGTTTAAAGATGCTCCGTATATAAATTTCCATCATCGCAACCTGTGCAAAAAATAAAGATTAAAAGTAACAAAGAAAGTAACATTATTTTTAAAAAAAATATTTACAGAACAAGCTGAAGTGTAACCTCAGTTACTGAAAAGATTTATTTGATATAGACAATTGGCTTGAACCAGTCTTATTTTATTAACATTGTGAATGACACATTCTCCATCGTCACCGTTGAATTACCATTATTATTTTGCATCACTAATCTTATTTAACCATCTTATAGGCTTGGTTTAAGTTTTTTTAAGTAATGATAGTCATCGTGTTTAACAATAGATTGCCAGCTATTGTAAGACCCCCCTTCTCTTTAACCAATGTCATACATTGTTAATTGACTATACTTTATATAGTGTGATCACACTGTCAGTCTTCCCCCTGTGGCACACTGGAGTTAAATTGTCCTTGCGCCACTGCTAGATATTTTCTTCTATTCTGTTGTTTATATAAACCTTTTCACTTATTTTAAAATATTTTCATCTCATTTCCCATTGTGCGCTTTGAGAAACGAATGATTATTTCCCACAACAGAATTTTTAAAGCAATTTGTCAGCTCATAACTATGACATGGCTTTTTTTTCTGGTTGTTATTTAAAAATGGATGTTAGTTTGTCGAGGTTTAATGCTTAGCTCTTATAACGTTATATTTATATGCATCTAAACAATAAGAGTGCATTCTCAACGAATTAAGCCAGGCTTTACAAAGCCAGTGACCTAAAAATGGCGGACGTACATGAAAGAAAAACCGCCTAATCTTTTAATAGTCTCTCCGCCTCCCCACACGTCGTCCCTGCGGGGAACAGTAATTAAATCGCGTCTCCGTTCGCCATGCGGAAGCTACCTGAGAAATATTAAGTGCGCATGCTCATCAGTTAAACTCGTGGTGAAGAAAGCATGGCGGCTGAAGGCGATCGAAGGAAAAAAGCTCTTCTGTTCTATTATCTTTGAAAACAGAGACGAAAAAGGAATAATTTGGCCCGTAGAGCAGCAATGAATCGACTATCTACGGAGATAATATCACCAGAGATATTCACGGAAATATTAATGTTCGGAGCCGAGATTTAATTACTGTACCCCGCAGGGACGACGTGTGGGGAGGCGTGTGAGAGGCGGAGAGACTATTAAAAGATTAGGCGGTTTTTCTTTCATGTACGTCCGCCATTTTTAGGTCACCGGCTTTGTAAAGCCTGGCTTAATTCGTTGAGAATGCGCTCTAAGATGTCAATTTTATACTTGACTGTTATTGCCCGTTGTCGCATGTATGCTTTCTTACAACAGTACAGTGAACTGTTCAACAGGACCTTTCTCCATGGCAGCCGGACATACAGTAACTGTAAAGGCATGGTTTTAGTTTATTTGAAAAATGATAACAATCGCATTTAACAATAGATTGCGAGCTACAGTAAGACCCCCCTCCTCTTTAAGCGACGTCACAATTAACATTACTATAATGTAAAGGCGACAAGTTATCAGATTGTCAGGCTTTTCCTCTGTCGCACATTGGTCTTCGATTATCATTTCCCCACTGCTACATATTACCTTTTACTTATTTATTTTCAATATTTTTTACCATATTAGTCTTAGTGTGTTATGAGATATGGGGGATTTTTAACACAGCAAAAGGAATGGGGGTGGGGGGTACAACATCAAAAGGATTTTTTTTAAAGGAATTGCCTAATAGGTTGCTGTGTTATTTGAACCAAAACGATTCCCTGAAGATCAAATTAAAAATTAGTGTCTATTCCATGCAGCATCTTTTTCACTAGCTTGAAAATGCCGAAGATATGGTCAAACAAGTGGAACAAGAAAAAATTCTGTCGCATGATTTTGACGTTTGGTCAGATAATTTTTTGGTCAAATTGATTGCACTGGTCAAACTGTTTGGCACATTACCCTATGCCCATAGTTGTGATCAAACTTGAATGGGAAGTCATATTAGGAATCTTAATGTGACATTGAATTTCACCTTTGACCTACTTTTCATCATGAACTTGCTAATTTTCTGACTCTTGTATCTTCAAAACTGGCAGAGATGCCTGTACTTACTATTGAACTTGAATAGGAAGTCATAAATTAGCAATGTTACTATGAACTGCACTTTGCAAATTCAGAGAAATGTCCATAGTTACTATTGAACTTGAATAGGAACTCGTATACTGGCAATCTAAATGTGACCTTGAAATTGACCTTTGACTTACTTTTCACCATTAACTACACTTTTCAAATTTTGACTCTTGTATCTGCATTACTGGCAGAGATACCCCCATAGTTACTTTTGAACTTGAATAGGAAGTCATAAGGTAAACAAAAATAATTTGCATCCTTGTACACATACAGCAAAGTAAAAGCATATTCCATACTGAAAATCCAGGTGCCACTTCTTCTTTGAACAATCATGCATGTGCAGCACAGAAAACCGTACGTATACAAAAAATATGGCGCCATTTTATTTACACTTACTAGTAGTTATTTACCATCTGTGATTTATTTGTAACATCAAAAGGAACTCAGAAGATCCAGCATCCTTTGGACATATTTCAGGGGTGGATTGAGGCTGTCTTCTGGGTCTTCCGGAAGACGGTCAAATTTCTAAGTTTACATTGATGAGTACCTATTTTTTTCTTTTGGAAGACGGTCAAAAATGGAGGATGGATCAACAAAGATAATGTGGACGACGGTCAAAAAATATCTCTGGATCCGCCCCTGTATTTAAACAGTAGAAGAAGATAGCAAAAGAAGTTAACATTTCCCCTGATGTTTGTGCCCACATGTGCAATAAGGCCCTATCTTGTTGAATCACTCAAAAATCATCTCTAACACGATTTTTTAAAAAACAGTTAGAGTGTTGTCTCTTTGTGTAGAGCACCAGTAATGAACTTTTCATTTAACCTAAAGCAACTTAACATTAGCATAGTATGAAGTGAGATTTTGCAGGAATTGGGAGAGTGTACATATGGTCAGTAATGTTATGTCACACTAATGTGCAGCAACAAACAAAAGGTAACAATTCATATGCAGGTATTTGGTTGGCTGTTTTCTACTAAATTCTCTCAAATTACAGCCTATTTAGTTCTATATGCAGTATGAAACTGTATTGACTTGCCCGAAAAATAAACTCAAGTATAGTGGTCTGCTTATTGTTTGTTTGTGGGCAATTTCTTGTTTCAAGAAAAAGCCACAATTTTATAAGTGTCCTTAGATTGGTAATTCCTCAAGCATCAACCCTATTGATTTTCATAAGGATGATGCATGTTTCAAAGTGTGAACTTGAACTGTCATGGGCCTGAAGCCTTATTTTTGTTACACATTTTATTTACATTGCTATTACCTGTTGTGCATAATTAATATTTGATGTTGACTTTGAAGTTAAGCATAATGTATTATTGCATCAAAATTGACAGTATCCCATTTTGTGCATTATTATTTTCTGTTTTTTGTCAGACATTTGATAGCCTTGCTGCCTGGTTTTGTTTGTTTTAGTTTTACATGCAGTATGAAAATGTATTTACTTGCCAAAAAAATTAACTGAAGTATTTTGGTTTGTTTATTATTTGTTTAAGTGGTCAATTTCTTATTTCACAAAAGAGCCACGATTTTATAGATTTCAGTTTAAAAAGTGTCTGTAGATTGGTAAATCCTCAAATTCCTCAAAAATGACCAGCGTACAGCTCCAATTGGCAAACCAGTTTGATTCGATTTTTTTCTTGTTGTCTATACTTTGCACAGCTTTACTTCAAAACAAAATAAGCCCATGCCACCAGTGTTACGGTCACTTTTGCTTGAAATATATCTTTATCAACCACCAACAAAACTGTTTTCAAGATGGTTTTTCAGCATTTAAAGAACCATCTGTATGTAAATCTAGAGGCCTTTGGCTGCAGAGCAAGCAATTACAAGTTTTCTTCATATTTGATAAAATGATTTAAAAATGCTAGTTGCCTTGTTTATAACCTCTGTGAAAGTGGTCGTATACAAGACCTTCATGGCCTAGTGGCATTGGGTCATCTGATGGTCAGTTTTTCAGCAGTTGTACATGTCCTAGCCTGTCACTCACTGACTTAGAGACCATTCCCACATATATTTAGATCGATCTATCCCCCTGGGGAATCTCACTAGATTGTTGTCAGTTTAACCGGCTTAAATGTCTGTCCCGCCTACTAAAAGCTGTAAGGAGTTGATTAACATTTGTGTGCGTTGGGGTCCCAGAAGCTGACAGCAATTTAGCGTGAACCCCCAAGGAGTTGCGTTGATCCAGAAATAGATTGATCTAAATCTGTGGGAACCCAGTCTTAGACATGATGAATGAGCATCTGACAATTTATCCTACCTCAAGCAGTTTAGATTACAGATATGGTATTTAGTCTGTTTTTCCTTTCAGCAGCACAGGCCATAAAATATCTGGCAGTGTAAAGAGACAGGAATTTTGCACTATATAGGCTACTAAGGTCCCATTCCCATTGACAACATCAATCTGTGTAGATCGGGACTCTGCAGGGACTCTCGCTGAGTTCAATCAGCTTAACAGATAAACACACCTCCTTCTCGTGTTAAGAAAAGCTGGTGATTGTAGGAGTATGTTGGAAACAAAGGGTGTGTCATTCAGCTAATCTGATTGCACTTAGCGAGATAGTCGCCAGAATTTGGTTGATCTACTTAAACCAATAGTGCCTATGGGGATGGGATCTTACACAGGATAGCAGTGCCTAACAAAGGATCTCTGCATTCGGAGGAGATATATGTTAATATTGTAAATAACAATTTGTGACTTGTCTCTGTCTACTGACAGAATTACTGAGCTCCTGTTAATTTTTATTCAGATTGTTCCTGGAGAAGATACTCTGCTGGATTGGGATCATTTACAACCAAACTGCATGAAAAGGTAGGGGTAATATATTTAGTATGTTATAATTGAATAGTCAAAGGTGGTTGACCTAGCTCAGTAAGGCCTTATTGTAAATATCATTTCTACCTTCTTTAATATGTTTTATACCATTTGTATACAATGTTAGCCTAAACCAGGCTTAAAAAATGACTGTTGTTATAATTTTATCTTGTAATGTTCATGGACATTATTTGCCTTCAGGAAAGTAAGTTCTTTGCTAATGATGTCTTCTCAACTAAGGCATCACAGTCTGTGCCAGATACTGTTAAACTTAACCCCATAGGATCCGGTTAATGCTGACCCATAAAGTTCTGCGGTGCCCAATTAATTCTGTGAGCTAGCCTTGAAAAGCCGGGTCACCTCAGTAAATTGGCCATAATTTATTTGTTTGCCTTTATTACCCATACAAAGTATACATTTTTAAAAAGCCAATATTTCAAGCTAAATGAAAATAGAATTATATTTAAATTCAACATGCAGTATCAAGAGTTATGGCCGGTTAAAAACTGCATTTTCATTTGGTAATGGGTGAAATAAAACAAAGTTGATTTATCTTATGCACATTAATTTTTTATTTCTCCATACATTTGCCTGAAAATTCACAGAGATGATGTCAATTATAGTAACTTTCAATCCAGGAAATTTCAGCAAGTTACCTTCATTTATTTCCAAGTTATGCTCGTTTTGCTATCAGGTATACTTGAGCCAGCTTTTCAGCTCACCTGAACTTCGTGGCCAGAGCTGAATAGAAGTCAAATTTTAACACCATTTATGACAAAAACATCTATAAAACTTATATCATAAATAAAGGAATATCATTGCCATTGTCTATATATCACTGTCACTCGAAAACACCTTATCAGTGTCGAAGTTTTCAATCATTTCAATACAAGTATCCATTCGCAGGCCCCTTCCGTAGTGAGAAGTCGCCATTTTGACTTTACTTTCTCCAGCTAAGTCTAGAAAATCGCCCATTTCTCGCTCACATATATTTCTATCGTCCTTTATATCATAAATGAATATTATCGTCACTGTCTATGTCACTGTCACACGAAAACTTCTCATCAAAGTCCATGTTTTCAATCATTTCAATAACAGTATCCCTTCGCAGATCCCTACCGTAGCGAGGAGCCGCCATCTTGATTTTACTTTCTCCAATTAAGTCTTGAAAATCGCCGTTTTCTCGCTCATATATATTTCTATCGCCTTTAAAAATGGTGGCAATGAGAGACAAGAAACATACCCGGATGTTAAACTATATATCATTTCATGACTAACTATATAAAAGAGTACAGAAGCCGATCTTTCCAAGATACGCACATATGCGGTTCTGGGCGTTTGGGGTAAACGATAATTGAACCGCACATATGCGGTGACGGGCTCTATGGGGTTAAAGGCCATCCGGCCACCAGGGTCTGACAATCTTTTGCCCTGAACCAAAATTCACTGGTTGAAGTCCAATTTTCAAAAATAATTACTTAGATTAACACATCGTGATTAAAAAGGTATGGAAGTGTGTAAGTGCGACAACACCACAAGAAACTCACAACACTACACACAAAACTCACAACACCAAACAAGCTCACAACGCCACACAAAACTTACAACGCCACACACAAAACTCACAACACCAAACAAATTTACAACCCCCAAACAAACAGTGTGAACAGGGAGTGCTTTAAACACAGAGGCTAGCAAACCTGGATATCATGTTTCATATTTGCATTAGATGACCACTCAAACTTGACCCACTTCTGTGACCATTTAAGAATGATCCATCAATTGTCAAGCTTACAAATTAAAGAGTAGAGGCAGTTCCAATGCACCAGGCCATTCAACCCTTTAAGATGTTAAATTTGTGTCTTACTTTTTTACACCATAACCCTTAATTAAGATTTCAGATTCAAAATTTAATTCAGATTTAAAAATAAAGCTCTCCAATTATGCAAGGTAAGGTCCTTGTAGAAATAATAATGTAGCCAAGTACAAAGAATCCATTGTCATTTTCTGAATCTATTCCTAAACATCAACCAATCCCAGCTACATTTGAGGATTGCCAATTATTTGAAAAATGTGTTTTCCTGAAAGTCCTGACACTGGTTATGTGATGTTCAGGTATCAGTCTCAACTGCAGAAGTTGTAAATTATAAACATGACTTAAGCAATTTTTATATTGTGTTAAAACACAATGTTAATGTTAAAACATCCAGAAGTGACGTATGTGTGACTTCTGGATGTTAAGCCTGAGAAGTGTCCCAAAGTTAGCTAGCATTGTTTTAAGACCCTTTGATTGAACAACCTATCTCCATCAGCATCCAAGCATGACTCATTAGTGACACATAAGTTCGAAACCCGTCCCTTAGATTTGAAACTTCCATACAAAGAATGTCCAGATTCATTTAAAGAGTCTTTCATTAATTCAGATAATGCAATACATAATGATCATAAAGGAAAAGCACAAAAAGAAAGCATTTAGATACTGTAGAAAATAATCGATTGAACTGGAATTGATCATTTATAATTGTTTAAATAAGTCAGTTCAACACTGCGTGCGTATTTTAAAAAGAGAAAATCCGTATTTATTTTCAATTTTAAGATTATCTTTACTAAAGCAGGATAGGCAATAATTCCCAACAGCCAATGTAAGCATATTTAAATATGGTAACCAGGCCCATAGCCAGCAATTGCAAAAGGGGGTACGTTCTTTTTCTGAAAACGTGGACCTTTTGTCGTAAAACTTGAGTTTACCTAGATCAAATTAACCCAGAGTGTACCTTTTCCCAGACCCCCCCCCCCCCCCCGGCCGTTACTCTTTAATTTGCAACCGTTATTATGGATTGATTATTCTTTAATGACCACTGAAGTGGGTCAAGTTTGAATGGTCACCTGGTCCAAACAAGATGTATATGATGCTCTGGTTTGCTACTATCCTCTGTGTTTAAACATGATGTATATGATACTTAGGTTTTCCAGGAGCCTATGTGTTTAAAATGTACCCTGTTCTTGTTGTGACTTTTGTGTGGTGTTGTGAGTTTTGTGTGTGGTGTTGTGAGTTTTGTGTGTGGTGGTGTGAGTTTTGTGTGTGGTGTTGTGAGTTTTGTGTGTGGTGGTGTGAGTTTTGTGTGTGGTGTTGTGAGTTTTGTGTGTGGTGTTGTGAGTTTTGTGTGTGGTGGTGTGAGTTTTGTGTGTGGTGTTGTGAGTTTTGTGTGTGGTGTTGTGAGTTTTGTGTGTGGTGGTGTGAGTTTGTTTGGTATTGCGAGTTTCGTGAGTGTGGTTGCAAGTTTTGTGTGTGGTGTTGTGACATTTGCATGGTGGTGTGAGTTTCATTTATCAAACAAATTATAGCTGAAAAGTCACTTTCTCGGTTTGGCCAGTAACTAAATGCTTTGCTGGTCCAGTTTTTATTGCCATTGGCAGTCAGGCCATTTGTTAATGTTGCAGATTGACATCATGCTGCAGGCTTTGATTAGATACTATTAATAGCTGATTATTGTCTTGCATGGCCTTCACAAGTCAAGAGCACATACCGGGGCTAAAATTTGTGTGTTAGAGCAAATGTCAATTTTATATATGTTAATATATGATTGAAATAATGTTAAGTGACTTTTCTATGGAATGATGAAACCTTCAGGAATTTACAGGTACAAAAAACAAATCTTACGGCTGTTATTAAATCAGGTGCATTTTATGGGAAGATTTTCACCAATTTGGTTGAACATTCTTGGCAATTTTTCTTGGACAAGCCACCCTCCATTTCTTGAATATTTTACTGAAAATGAGAAAAGAGACAGAAAATGAAACAAAAACAAAGCTATAAGCTATTAATTACAAAATTCAGGAAGCTCATGTGCATAAACAGACCTGAGGGGTTGATTAATTATTTTATTATTGGATGCTATAGTTGCAAACTTTGAAAATTTGCTGTACCATGTCAGGAGCGGATAGAGGTCGTCTTCTGGACCTTCAAGATTTTCAAGTTTACGTTGATGGGTATAAAATTTTTTCTGTTGGAAGAGGGTCAGAAGTGGAGGATGGATCCACAAATATAATTTGGAAGACCAAAAATTATCTCTGGAAATGCCCCTGCATGTCATTTTTTAATAAAAAAAAAACTACCATTTTGTCATTTTTCCTATAAGTTAACAAATGTCATTTTAACTTCTTTCCATTTGTTAGACTAAGTGTGTTTTCTGAATAACATGTTATGTAAAAAATAATGAAAATAGAAAAAGAAAATAACTTTTGAAGGTTGTTTATTAATGTCATAGGGAAGTGGAGAAACAAAACTGACAGTTTATTAGAGGGATACTTGATTGAGTGAGATTATCTGTTTACCCCACCTTTTTTTGGTGATGCACTTTGATTATAGGCAGGCAACATTATGAAGGGGTCTAGGGTGGGCATAAAACAATTAAAATTGTTTATTAGTTCATCATAGGGATACCTGTATAAGTGAGATTAGCTGTTTACCCTACCTCTACCATGAGATACATTCTGAATTAAAGGCAGGCATTTATATTTTCTCACAATATCACATTGTTCATTCTCATAATCACATTATTTTAGGGAAGAATTGTTGGGAGAATTTTCCAGGGGGGGGAGGGGATTGTCCTGATATCTTGGTAAAACAGTCTTATGTGACCAATTAGCCATAGATCCGGTGGATATGAGCAACAGGCCTTACAGACAGAGGATCTGCCTTAAGGTTATTGAAGTGGTCATAACTTGCAAGCCACATAAAGAGTTAGTGGATATAGCATGTACATTGCTTTGAAAGATTTGTATACATACGAGTGACCATTACGTGGCTGTTCAAAAGCAACAGCAGTTGTAGGTTTTACAAACTGTGCTTTACCCAAGAGTGTGTATATGTCATTGATATAAAAATATTTAACCAGTTTGTTAGGTTCACTAGATTTTTTTTTAATGTCCAGTTTTTATGGCTAATATAAAAATATTTAACCAGTTTGTTAGGTTCACTAGATTTTTTTTTTAAA